GGGCACCGAGGGAACTGAAGCACCTGGTCCATCACCAGGGCACCGAGGGAACTGAAGCGCCTGGTCCATCACCAGGGCACCGAGGGAGCTGAAGCGCCTGGTCCACCACCAGGGCACCGAAGGAGCTGAAGCGCCTGGTCCACCACCAGGGCACCGAGGGAACTGAAGCACCTGGTCCATCACCAGGGCACCGAGGGAACTGAAGCGCCTGGTCCACCACCAGGGCACCGAAGGAACTGAAGCACCAGGTCAAGGAGCTGAAGCACCAGGTCGCAGAACACAGAACACAGCAGCTCTGGGAATATTACTACTTTCACTTTGGTTATATTGCTTATTAAGATATCACCTGTTTCTGTGATCTTATTGCATGTAAACGTGTGTATTCATTTGTGTATTTTCATATGAAAATTTATGGTATGTTTGCGTGTCCTGTTGTATGTTTATTGGGATGTGTGAAAATGTCGGCATCGGCCATTTTCACGGTATAGGTGAAAATATGACTGATACTTATAAAATATTAATGTTATATATATCGTAAAAAAATATCGAAGAGTCACTCTCTCAATTTTTTCTTACACAGGGTTTTACAAGGTTACAAAGTTTTACAAAGCTAAGGTTCCTAACTTTATTTACAAGCTAAGAGCTGTTACCTTCATCAGCTCATTTGAAAAAGCTTTCAAATGAGCTGATGTAACAGCTCTTAGCTTGTAAATAAAGTTAGGAACCTTAACCTAACCTTGCTAAACCTTGTGTAAAAGAGAGAGAGAGAGATCCCTCACAATCGTGATGTACTAGTGTATTAATTTCGCTCGCTTGCTCACACACACACACACACACACACACACACACACACACACACACACACACACACACACACACACCACATATATATATATATATATACACACATACACACACACAGTACAAGAAATGGTGGACTATGTGACAAAATGCAAGGAGGCCGAGGAGAGGTTCGTTCCCAGGGGAAACAGGAATAATGGCAAGAAAAGAACGAGTCCTTGGTTCACCCAAAGGTGTAGGGAGGCAAAAAATAGGTGTACTAGAGAATGGAAAAGGTACAGAAGACAAAGAACTCGGGAAAATAAAGAGATTAGCCGAAGAGCCAGAAACGAATATGCACAGATAAGAAGGGAGGCTCAGCGACAATATGAAAATGACATAGTATCGAAAGTCAAGTCTTACCCGAAGTTGTTGTATAGCCACATCAGGAAGAAAACAATAGTCAAGGACCAGGTAGTCAGACTGAGGAACGGTGATGAGGAGTTCACAAGAAACGACCGAGAGGTATGTGAGGAGCTCAACACGAGATTTAAAGAAGTATTTACAGTGGAAACCAGTAGGACTCCAGGAAATCAGAACAGGGAGGTACACCAACAAGTGCTGGATGAGGTACACATAAGCGAGGAGGAGGTGAAGAAGCTGCTATGTGAACTTGACACCTCAAAGGCGGTGGGACCAGGGAACATCTCTCCGTGGGTCCTTAATTAAAGAGGGAGCAGAGATGCTGTGTGAGCCATTAACAAAGATCTTCAATACATCCACTGAAACTAGGCAACTGCCTGAGGTATGGAAGATGGCAAATGTAGTCCCAATTTTTAAAAAAGGAGACAGACATGAGGCATTAAACTACAGACCTGTGTCACTAACGTGTATAGTATGTAAAGATCATCAGGAGGAGAGTGGTGGAGCACCAAGGAAATTCCTGTGTCACAAACCTACTGGAGTTTTATGACAAGTCACCTTGTAAGACAAGAGAGAGAAGGGTGGATAGACTGCATTTTCTTGGACTGCAAGAAGGCCTTCGACACAGTTCCTCACAAGAGGTTTCTGAAAAAGCTAAAGGATCAGGCACACGTAACAGGAAAAGCATTGCAATGGATCAGAGAATACCTGACAGGGAGGCAACAACGAGTCATGGTACGTGACGAGGTGTCAGAGTAGGCGCCTGTGACAAGCGGGGTTCCACAGGGGTCAGTCCTAGGACCTGTGCTGTTTTTGGTATATGTGAATGACATAACGGAAGGGATAGACTCAGATGTGTCCTTGTTCGCAGATGATGTGAAGTTAATGAGGAGAATCAAATCGGTCGAGGATCAGACAGGATTACAAAGAGACCTGGACAGGCTACAAGCCTGGTCCAGCAACTGGCTCCTTGAGTTTAACCCTGCCAAATGCAAAGTCATGAAGATATGGGAAGGGCAAAGAAGACCGCAGACACAATATAGTCTAGGGGGCCAAAGACTGCAAACCTCACTCAAGAAAAAAGATCTGGGGGTGAGTATAATACCGAGCACATCTCCTGAGGCGCACATTAGCCAGATAACTGCTGCAGTGTACGGACGTCTGGAAAACCTAAGGATAGCTTTCAGATACCTCAGTAAGGAATCGTTCAAGACTCTGAACACCATTTACGTCAGGCCCATACTGGAGTATGCAGCACCAATTTGGAATCCACACCTGGTCAAGCACGTCAAGAAATTAAAGAAAGTGCAAAGGTTTGCAACAAGACTAGTCCCAGAGCTAAGGGGATTGTCGTACGAAGAAAGGTTGAGGGAAATCGGCCTGACAACACTGGAGGACAGGAGGGTCAGGGGTGACATTATAACGACATATAAAATACTGCGCAGAATAGACAAGGTGGACAAAGACGAGATGTTCCAAAGATGGGACACAGAAACAAGAAGTCACAATTGGAAGCTGAAGACTCAGATGAATCAAAGGGATGTTAGGAAGTATTTCTTCAGTCACAGAGTAGTCAGGCCGTGGAATAGCCTAGAAAATGACGTAGTGGAGGAGGGAACCATACATAGTTTTAAGGCGAGGTATGATAAAGCTCATGGAGCAGGGAGAGAGAGGACCTAGTAGCAGTCAGTGAAGAGGCTGGGCCAGGAGCTATGACTCGACCCCTACAACCACAAATAGGTGATTACACACACATACAGGAAGGCCCTGCTTTACGTCGTTCGCTTTTCGGTGTTCAGCTAATACGACGTTTTTCAGTTATTCTCAATCTTCATTTATTTGGCACCTATTATTTTTTTGTTTTGGTAGGGGGGGGTTCAAAGATCTAAAACAATTAAAAAATTGACTTAAGTTTACAGAAAAAAACAGTTCTAAAATGTTAGAACATTTTGGTTGTTTATCTCATTTTCGTACGATGTTTCTACAGATATTTATAGAAACTATAACACCTGAGGGAGTAACGACTAGTGAATATTTAACTATAGTGTTGAAGACACAATAATGCATGAAGCCTGTCGTTCTGGGTCCCTATAAATGTCGTATATTTACGTTATTATATACATTTTTCATGCATAATTATGTAAGAAACATGCGACATATCATATAAACATAATACAAACAACCATACTAGAAGAGACTGACATAACTGTGAAGTGTGGTATCCTGGTGGTCGTATAGAAGAGCGATTACAAGGTTCTTAAAGGGATCAACATTCACACTGAGCTTCTATTTCAGATACACAAAAACATCTCTAATCTTGTATAACACGTCGTTTTTGTCAGCCCTCGTCTTGTCTCAGAAGTGTAGCATGCATAATGGCAGGATAAATATGTTGATTGGATCATATCACTGAAGCCTGGGTGCAAATTATGCGATCAGTCGACCATTATGATTAAATATTGTGTCTACATAGTATGTGGCATAAGCATTATTATGGCAAAGAAGAGATACATCTCAGCCATAGTTGTGTCTTTCCACTAGTATAGCTATGATTATGATGAAACCAATGTGTTTGCCATTATATAATGGAAGTATCTTTTGGTTTCCCTCACTGTAATTTGCATCAGGGGTTCATCAGAATATAGTCTGTGGAAGTGAAGTTCAGTGGCATCGTTCCCGAGGGTAGTGGAAGTAGCTGTGGACCATTGGAGTATTGAATGCGGGTCATACATCTCAGCCTGGGCTGGGTTTGGTATCACTCCCTGGCTGCTGTATTCGCAGCGCCATTGTCCACAGCCTATTACCCATCCCAGTCGATACACCTTTATCCTAAATATCTCTGTCACTGGTGCTGTGTCCCGGAATGTACTCAGTCCTCCGTGGATAGCACTGGGCATATTACAAGTCCTTGTGAAGTGATGTACAAATTAACGCTCCACATGTGCATAATCTTCATTACTATTGCTAACAGAGTGGTTCGATTGTTAGGAAGTCAGTCAACATAATTATGATTACCATTACTCACATCTTCGCCCAGGCCATGGGAGAATACTTACGGCTGGGTGGTGGTGGACGTGTTCCAGATGAACCAACCGCAGATGTGGATAGTTGTGGGTCATTGGTGTATTCAACGATATTTCCGGCATTCTGAGCATCACTTTCAATCACTAGGTGTTCGAAACGAAAGAATGCATTGCGTTCATAATCCTCGTTGTTGGAACTGGGGAATAAACTTGCTCAATTCACCTGGGTGTAAGGCCTTTGCATCCGTACGGCATCGTGAACAAGTTGTACTGAATATGGCATTCCCACAATACACTGTACAAGGCTTCACTTTTTTTTTTATACTGCACACACACACAAACCTGTTTTCTCATATGTATGCCTACCAGGCCTCTCGTGCCAAATTTAAGCCTTTACAATTTATGGGTAGATCTCTGTAAGCAACCCTGGCATCAATAACGTAATCTCTGTAAGCAACCCTGGCATCAAAAACGTAGATCTCTGCAAGCAACCCTGGAATCAATAACGTAGATCTCTGTAAACAACCCTGGCATCAATAACGTAAGCAACCCTGGCATCAATAACGTAAGCAACCCTGGCATCAATAACGTAATCTCTGTAAGCAACCCTGGCATCAAAAACGTAGATCTCTGCAAGCAACCCTGGCATCAATAACGTAAGCAACCCTGGCATGTTGTTAGGTAAGACACATATGCAACAGTTAGGTATCTTTATTATGAAACTGTTGCATATGTGTCTTACCTAACAACCTGTCGGTATTTTATACCATTTTAATGTTCAACCCTGGCATCAATAACGTAGATCTCTGTAAGCAACCCTGGCATCAACAACGTAAGCAACCCTGGCATCAATAACGTAAGCAACCCTGGCATCAATAACGTAATCTCTGTAAGCAACCCTGGCATCAAAAACGTAGATCTCTGCAAGCAACCCTGGCATCAATAACGTGAGCAACCCTGGCATCAATAACGTAGATTTCTGTAAGCATCCCTGGCATCAATAACGTAAGCAACCCTGGCATCAATAACGTAAGCAACCCTGGCATCAATAACGTAATCTCTGTAAGCAACCCTGGCTAACCTCTGCTATAACTCCAACTGCTGAGAGAATGACGCTCGTCAAGCTGCAGTTAGCCCTGTCGGCAGGCGCTGTGTCAGCCTCATGTCACAAGCTTCAGTGAGCTCCTGCACAAAGATGTTGCTCTGACTGCTAGCTCGCTCACTGCAGTCTGGTGTGTGATGTTACGACTCCCAGATGTTTCGCCCAGTCGTCTCTGCCACTACTCGCTCCACAACTCGCTCCATGCTCGCCGGCAGTGACAGCCCAGCGACAGTACCAGTCGAGAAGTGTCCTCCTGAGTCACTTGCCAGAAGCCCTGCCCAGTTGCCGAGTTTTGTCGACGCCTCACTCGAGGGCACCAGCATATCGTTCCCTAGGTTGAGTGAAACCTGCAGCGACTCCTATGATGACTGCTTCACCGTTCCAGAGGAGACCATACCCTGTTACGTCACAGCTCAGCCGCAGCGATGTCTCCTGTGTTGCAGTATTTGTCCAGACGCAGGAAGGCGTGCAGAGATGCCCTTCGACGCTCACTGCCTTTGACCACGATGTTTAGCACACCCCACCTGTTTTTTTCTTCCCTCCCTGTAGGAAGTTTTTTTTTCCATGGTCATATGTATATATATATGTTTTTGATTTTGTGCTCTGTGCCCTGTTCCTACGAGAGAGAGAGACCAAGTTTTTTTTACCACCAGTAGTCCCGACGCGAGGTAGGTGGCCGAGCGTATGTAGACAGCCTGTACTGTCTGCACGGACAGCCTTGCTGTCTGCCAGCTCAGCTCATGTTTCGCGCCACTAAAGTGCTGCCCTCTGGGCCTGTCCAGGTCTGTGGGAAGCTGGTCCCAGGGCCATGGGCACAACACACAAGCCTGTGTACCCACCACGACTTTGCAAATAAAGTAAGAAGCCTCCGAAGACGTGTATCATTCACACACCCCACTACCAGTAATACCAATTAACATTGGTTCATATAAGCAACTCTGGCATTAATAACGTAAGCAACCCTGGCATCAATAGCGTAAGCAACCCTGGGATTAATAACGTAAGCAACCCTGGCATCAATAATGTAAACAACCCTGGCATCAATAATGTAAGCAACCCTGGCATCAATAATGTAAGCAACCCTGGCACCAATAACATAAGCAACCCTGGTGTTGAGAAATGGTTATCAGCTAAGTTTAAATATAGGGAAAACTTAACTTAGAAAGACAACTCATCGCCTGCACAGCTGCCCCTGCAGACGAGGTCTTGAGAAGCTGTCGAAGTCATTCCTCAACGGGCTGAAATGAGTTATAATTTGTAAGATTAAAAATTACCCCTAGGGGGTGTTATGTCAGCATATTTCATTCACTGATTGCTGACAAACTTACGTGTGTGGACTCAAAGGTCCGCATATCACCGGGGTTTATGATAAGTGACTAACTCACGATTTTATACTCAACTGTGCAGTCAATAGTAGCACATCACGAGTTAGAACACTTACCTGGGTATATGTATCTGACCCGTAATTATGCCAGGATATCCGTTGAGTTGATTGAAGAATAGTGTTCTTTGAAGAATGTCGCACTACACTCTGTTGGATCGCAACACTCGTTGTTACACTGTTCATCAATAATTGTTCACACAATATCACTGAAGAAGCTGATCACACTTCTCTGTAAGTGTTTATTGTGTTTTGTGAGACATTTTGTTCAGATTAACGCACAGATCGTTCTTTGTTTGTTATCCTGGCGTCAGTGTCACTCTCAGAAGAGTCAAAAGTAATCTGAAGACGCCACAGCACCCCAAGCCGTTACTGCCCCCAGCACAAAGGAAAAGCTGACATAGTACCTTTGCTTCCTTGCCACTTCCTCCATGAGGCAAAGCAGAATGTTTAAATCTTGTTGTCTTAAGCATAGACAACAATATCCACTACCTTTACTCTGGTAATAAAGAGGGAGCAGGATTTTCCTTAATTGTCCTGCTAAGGTAAGAGATGTACTGTCTCTTATTAAAATACACTCTGCAACACTGGACTGCAAGGAGCGGCGGTCGCTTGACCACAGGTCGTATACTGGTACTGCATCTGGGATCAATTACTCGCTGTAGCAGTAAACAAGATATTTGCCCCTTCTGAGAGGGCTGGGCCCCTCAGGGCTGAAAGGGGCTGAAGGGGGCTGATACCCCCCTCCTGGAGAAAATTTCTCCACACCTGGCATCAATAACGTAAGCAACCCTGGCACCAATAACTTAAGGAACCCTGATATCAATAACGTAGATCTATGTAAGAGACACTGATTGTGTTAATATTTGATCGGTTTAATCTCTTCTTCCTAAGATAAAACAAGTTTAATGCTTTGAGCGTTTATTTGCAGAATTGATTTTTAATCCATTAATTATTTAACATTTATATTACCTATATATATATATATATATATATATATATATATATATATATATATATATATATATATATATTATATATATTATATATAAATATTATATATATATATATATATATATATATATATATATATATATATAATATATATATATATCTGCAATATTACATATACAGAATTTGTTATTTAGAATAAATCCACTCTTTTATTTTAAATAGGCATAACACTTTTCTATTTTGAAAATCACTAGAAAAATGTATAATTAAAACGATATTTACATTTTCTTCAGAGCCGCGACCACCAGTTCGGACAAATGTGGGCGACATTGGGCGTAGTATCCGGCTTACTTCCAATTATTATGAGGTGACCTTGAAGACTGAACACATTACTTTGGTTCATTATGATGTTGAAATCAAGAATCATATGAAAAAGACTGTGAAACTTCCTAAAAAGAAGCGCATGTAAGTATCATTTCTCAGTGTTTGCTGTTATTTTCAGAGCTTGTGTTCTTTTCTTATTCAGCAAAAAATATTTTGTCAAACAAGCAGAATGTGGTTAAAAAAACAAGCAGAATGTTGCTGAGAAGACCATGGGCTAAAGCCCATAGTCTTCTCAGAACTGTTTAAATGTGATGGGTGGTAACAACCCTTTCCTGAACTCCTCAGATTCATCAGTTACATACATACATATATATACATACATACATACATGTCATGTCATGTCAGAGAGCAATGTGTGGTGTGAATATAATGCAGAGAATTCGTAGTTTGGAAGTTAGGAGGAGGTGCGGGATTACCAAAACTGTTGTCCAGAGGGCTGAGGAAGGGTTGTTGAGGTGGTTCGGACATGTGGAGAGAATGGAGTGAAACAGAATAACTTCAAGAGTGTATCAGTCTGTAGTGGAAGGAAGGCGGGGTAGGGGTCGGCCTAGGAAAGGTTGGAGGGAGGGGGTAAAGGAGGTTTTGTGTGCGAGGGGCTTGGACTTCCAGCAGGCATGCGTGAGCGTGTTTGCTAGGAGTGAATGGAGACAAATGGTTTTTAATACTTGACGTGCTGTTGGAGTGTGAGCAAAGTAACATTTATGAAGGGGTTCAGGGAAACCGGCAGGCCGGACTTGAGTCCTGGAGATGGGAAGTACAGTGTCTGCACTCTGAAGGAGGGGTGTTAATGTTGCAGTTTAAAAACTGTAGTGTAAAGCACCCTTCTGGCAAGACAGTGATGGAGAGAATGATGGTGAAAGTTTTTCTTTTTCGGGCCACCCTGCATTGGTGGGAATCGGCCAGTGTGATAATAAAAAAAATAATAACATTATATATATATATATATATATATATATATATATATATATTATATATATATAATATATATATATATTATATATATATATATATATATATTATATATATATATATATATATTATATATATATTATTTATTTATTTATTATCACACTGGCCGATTCCCACCAAGGCAGGGTGGCCCGAAAAAGAAAAACTTTCACCATCATTCACTCCATCACTGTCTTGCCAGAAGGGTGCTTTACACTACAGTTTTTAAACTGCAACATTAACACCCCTCCTTCAGAGTGCAGGCACTGTACTTCCCATCTCCAGGACTCAAGTCCGGCCTGCCGGTTTCCCTGAATCCCTTCATAAATGTTACTTTGCTCACACTCCAACAGCACGTCAAGTATTAAAAACCATTTGTCTCCATTCACTCCTATCAAACACGCTCACGCATGCCTGCTGGAAGTCCAAGCCCCTCGCACACAAAACCTCCTTTACCCCCTCCCTCCAACCCTTCCTAGGCCGACCCCTACCCCGCCTTCCTTCCACTACAGACTGATACACTCTTGAAGTCATTCTGTTTCGCTCCATTCTCTCTACATGTCCGAACCACCTCAACAACCCTTCCTCAGCCCTCTGGACAACAGTTTTGGTAATCCCGCACCTCCTCCTAACTTCCAAACTACGAATTCTCTGCATTATATTCACACCACACATTGCCCTCAGACATGACATCTCCACTGCCTCCAGCCTTCTCCTCGCTGCAACATTCATCACCCACGCTTCTCACCCATATAAGAGCGTTGGTAAAACTATACTCTCATACATTCCCCTCTTTGCCTCCAAGGACAAAGTTCTTTGTCTCCACAGACTCCTAAGTGCACCACTCACTCTTTTTTCCCTCATCAATTCTATGATTCACCTCATCTTTCATAGACCCATCCGCTGACACGTCCACTCCCAAATATCTGAATACGTTCACCTCCTCCATAATCTCTCCCTCCAATCTGATATTCAATCTTTCATCACCTAATCTTTTTGTTATCCTCATAACCTTACTCTTTCCTGTATTCACCTTTAATTTTCTTCTTTTGCACACCCTACCAAATTCATCCACCAATCTCTGCAGCTTCTCTTCAGAATCTCCCAAGAGCACAGTGTCATCAGCAAAGAGCAGCTGTGACAACTCCCACTTTGTGTGTGATTCTTTATCTTTTAACTCCACGCCTCTTGCCAAGACCCTCGCATTTACTTCTCTTACAAGCCCATCTATAAATTTTATTAAACAACCACGGTGACATCACACATCCTTGTCTAAGGCCTACTTTTACTGGGAAAAAATTTCCCTCTTTCCTACATACTCTAACTTGAGCCTCACTATCCTCGTAAAAACTCTTCACTGCTTTCAGTAACCTACCTCCTACACCATACACTTGCAACATCTGCCACATTGCCCCCCTATCCACCCTGTCATACGCCTTTTCCAAATCCATAAATGCCACAAAGACCTCTTTAGCCTTATCTAAATACTGTTCACTTATATGTTTCACTGTAAACACCTGGTCCACACACCCCCTACCTTTCCTAAAGCCTCCTTGTTCATCTGCTATCCTATTCTCCGTCTTACTCTTAATTCTTTCAATTATAACTCTACCATACACTTTACCAGGTACACTCAACAGACTTATCCCCCTATAATTTTTGCACTCTCTTTTATCCCCTTTGCCTTTATACAAAGGAACTATGCATGCTCTCTGCCAATCCCTAGGTACCTTACCCTCTTCCATACATTTATTAAATAATTGCACCAACCACTCCAAAACTATATCCCCACCTGCTTTTAACATTTCTATCTTTATCCCATCAATCCCGGCTGCCTTACCCCCTTTCATTTTACCTACTGCCTCACGAACTTCCCCCACACTCACAACTGGCTCTTCCTCACTCCTACAAGATGTTATTCCTCCTTGCCCTATACACGAAATCACAGCTTCCCTATCTTCATCAACATTTAACAATTCCGCAAAATATTCCCTCCATCTTCCCAATACCTCTAACTCTCCATTTAATAACTCTCCTCTCCTATTTTTAACTGACAAATCCATTTGTTCTCTAGGCTTTCTTAACTTGTTAATCTCACTCCAAAACTTTTTCTTATTTTCAACAAAATTTGTTGATAACATCTCACCCACTCTCTCATTTGCTCTCTTTTTACATTGCTTCACCACTCTCTTAACCTCTCTCTTTTTCTCCATATACTCTTCCCTCCCTGCATCACTTCTACTTTGTAAAAACTTCTCATATGCTAACTTTTTCTCCCTTACTACTCTCTTTACATCATCATTCCACCAATCGCTCCTCTTCCCTCCTGCACCCACTTTCCTGTAACCACAAACTTCTGCTGAACACTCTAACACTACATTTTTAAACCTACCCCATACCTCTTCGACCCCATTGCCTATGCTCTCATTAGCCCATCTATCCTCCAATAGCTGTTTATATCTTACCCTAACTGCCTCCTCTTTTAGTTTATAAACCTTCACCTCTCTCTTCCCTGATGCTTCTATTCTCCTTGTATCCCATCTACCTTTTACTCTCAGTGTAGCTACAACTAGAAAGTGATCTGATATATCTGTGGCCCCTCTATAAACATGTACATCCTGAAGTCTACTCAACAGTCTTTTATCTACCAATACATAATCCAACAAACTACTGTCATTTCGCCCTACATCATATCGTGTATACTTATTTATCCTCTTTTTCTTAAAATATGTATTACCTATAACTAAACCCCTTTCTATACAAAGTTCAATCAAAGGGCTCCCATTATCATTTACACCTGGCACCCCAAACTTACCTACCACACCCTCTCTAAACGTTTCTCCTACTTTAGCATTCAGGTCCCCTACCACAATTACTCTCTCTCATATATATATATATATATATATATATATATATATATATATATATATATATATATATATATAATATATATATATATATATTATATATATATATATATCAGTGGTCTTTTTACATTTACCGTTGTATTATCTCTAGGGTTATAATTATTTCCTAAAAATGAAGTAGTATTAAGTGGATAACTGACCTCCTGTGACCATACACAAGGTATACACTCCTAGCCGACATCGGTGACACACTAACTATATAGAAAGCCCCTTGTAATGCAGAGAATTTCGCGCAGAATAGGTCAATTTCGTTCCGGATGCGACTTACACCAGTCGACTAACATCCAGGTACCTATTAACTGATGGGTGAACATTGAATAGCAGGTGGCTTAAGAAAACACGTCCTTATGTTTCCAGCCGTACCGGGGATCGACCCCCGGGCCACAGAGCTGAGTGCGCTAGCGTTCGATGTATGAGACACCTACTAATACTCATGACACAACTCTCGCTAAAACAGAGCATTCTGAAACCACAAGGACTTCGGATGAACATCGCTGTTTAGAAAATAGTAACCAATAGTGGAACAAACAGAACACAGCAGAGGATATATGACTTGTATTTCCTTCACCACAAAATCAAGTTCGTATTTATAATATGTTCAATATGTACAATAATGTACATATTGTACAGCATACAACGCTATAGCCAAAGAGGTAGAATGCAAGCACCAGACAAGGAGCAACGTAAGTACTGTCTTTTAATCTCACTATGTTAGAAGTGATCAAGGTCCCAGTACAGTAACGTTTTCTAATAAATGTGTCCTAGTGACTCACGAAATCGTAATGACACGACTGCAAACAAACCATACCACGAGCGGGGATAGAACCCGCTAGCTGGTCCAGTGGCTAACGCGACGGTCTGGAGTTTTGAGACTCTCTGATCGCGGGTTCTATCCCCGCCCGTGGTATGGTTTGTGTCCTAGTGTTTGCTCACGTGTTTTTTTTCTAAACAAACAAAAATGGGTAAATTATGTTATTTTTCTGGGAGAAAAACACTCTATCAAAACCCTAGGAAGTCCATAATTCATTGAACCATCCATACAAAATTCAGCTCAGGGGCATGATCACACTACCGTATTGTCAACACCTTAGGTTTCCTTAATACAAGCAAATCCTCTTCTAACTGTTCTTTACAGTGATTTAAAATACAGTAGCAACTCTGGAAAGTAAATTAATGGCACCAAAATACCTTCAGCTACCAGCCAGA